GAACTTTGAGCCCGAAGGCCTAAACCCTGAACCCTGAGCCCTCAACCCTGCACCCTACATCCAAAGCCTCAACCCTAAGCCCTCATGAGGCTCGGCCTCTCTCCTTGTGGCGGGTTTAGGGCTGAAGGTATTTCCCGAAAAGCACGAGTGAGGTTGCCCCGAACACCCAAAAAATCCCATGGTCAATGTATGTCCATGCTTAAATGCGGCCTTCACGTCGACACCTTGTTCATTAGCCCTCAGGGTCCATGCAACTATATAACTGGTATACACTTGGGCTTTCAATTCAAGGGGCTACCATAAAAGCTTAGGGCCCAAGTATATACCAAAACCCTAAACCCTAAACCCTAAACCCTTGGGGTGCATGGACCCTTAGGTGAGAACAATAGACACCCACTTGCAGTGTGCCGGTTTACGAACCCCAATCCCCGCCAACCCCCCGAAGCCCTAAACCCCCAAGACCCCTGCATCCCAAGGGTTTAGGGTTTAGGGTTTAGGGTTTAGGGTTTAGGGTTTAGGGTTTAGGGTTTAAGGTTTAGGGTACCCCTGGTAGCCCCCTCCCCGGCGACGCTTAACCTCTGGCTGAGATGAGGGGCTGTCCGCCATGGCTGCCCCGAGGATCACCACGCATAGCCGCGCCCACATTGCCTCCGCATTTTCAGGCAAAGGGCTCAGGGTTCAGGAATTGGTGTTAGGGTTTAGGGTTTAGGGTTTAGGGTTTAGGGGTTAGGGTTTAGGGTTCAGGGTTCAGGGTTTAGGGTTTAGGGCATAGGGTTTGGGGCTTAGGGCTCAGAGTTTAAGGGCTCAGGGTTCAGGGTCTTGGTGCTTAGTAGCCCAGTAACCATATTACAACAAAGGCACCCTTCTTTGGGGTGGTTACTGTATAAGGGAACCCAGAACCAAAAAAAAAAGTAAAGGGTGCCACTGGGCTACCAAGGGTGATAGGGTCTCATGTGCCTTAGGTTGCAAAGCAAGAATGCTACACCTTGCGGTCCCTTCACTTAAGAGGGCCAGCTAAGATCAATAGTTTGGTCTCAAAAGACCGTCTGGGTATGAGAGGCCAGCAGGGGCTGGGAGGTGTGGGGCTTTTAGGTCATATGGGGTTTGGGAACTCTAAACCCTAAACCCTAAACCCTAAACCCTGAACCCTAAACCCTAAACCCTAAACCCTAGAGCCCCCAACCCCCACCTCGGACAGAAAGCGACTGCCAGGAGCTGCACCCTTGACTTGGCGATGAGCCAGAAAGTCTGGGTGGAGAACTTGATATGGTTTAGGGTTTAGGGTTTAGGGTTTAGGGTTTAGGTTTTCGGGTTTAGGGTTTGGGGTTTAGGGTTTGGGGTTTAGGGTTTAGGGTTTGGGGTTTAGGGTTTAGGGTATGGGGTTTGGGGTTTAGGGTTTGGGGTTTAGGGTTTGGGGTTTGGGCTATAGGGTTTCGGGTTTGGGGTTTAGGGTTTGGGGTGTGTGCTGGATCCTTAGACTCTGCATGAATCCTACATCTCCAAGGGTCATGTTTGGTTCACGTATATGGGGCAAAGAGGAAGGCAAATCAAAGGTTGAGTTCTCTAATTAGGGTCCCTTTTGGGGTTCCCTAAATAAGAGGGGTCGCCTTTTATTAAGGACCCCAAAAGGGACCATAATTTAGAGAACTCACCATATAATTAACAAAAGCTGCTACCAGGGGCGAGGTTAAGTCACGTCTGAAGTTACATCGCCCCAATGATCACGCGGTTGCGAGCGAAGTCACGACACGCGGCCAAGAGGCACATCACAAAGACACATGTTGATGCCATTCCCCCAAGAGCGCCGCTTGCGCACGCATGCCAAGTAGCTCTCCCCCACCCCCCACCCCAGTACCATTTGTGTAGAAAGATGGATGGATAGATAGGTAGACAGTTAGATAATTAGATTAGATATAACAATAGATCAGATAGACATATTAGATAGATAGATTGATGGATAGATAGATATACACGCCGGGGTTATTGAAACAATTTGCTACACTTTTTGGGACCTGCGATTGCAACTGTGACCGGTATCCAAATTCCATGACTCCTTCATTCCGAACCCAAGCCGCTCAATACCCCCAAGCCCTAAAACCTGGTCATGTTCTTGGTCAAATATCCTCAAAGGACTTCCTTGCTTCAGGATTAGGATCGTCGGCGTGGCGTCTTGCACAAAACTTGCAGACCCTACACAGCCCATTTGGTTATTTAGGCCGCTGGGCTTGTCGGAACCTCGACGCACGGATTGGCTAATGTACGAAGTTCAGTCTGGAGGCTCAGGTTTTGGTAGCTGATGCGCACCCCTGAGCTGAGCTTGCACAGAATTGCTGTCGCCACCAAAAGCAGCAAAGCCCCAAGTCATCACCGATCCGTCATGGAGCGTTGCAGCAAAGGCAGCTGGAGAAGCTTGGATGTGCTGCACGCCCCTCAGCTGAGCTTGTACAGACCTGCTGTAGCCGCCGAACAAACCTGCTCCCCAGGTCACGACAGATCCATCGCCGAGGATCGCAGCAAAAGCACGTTCAGAAGCCTGGATGTGCTGCACGCCCTTTAGCTGACCTTGCGCAGAGCCGCTGTCGCCACCAAAGGCACCATTGCCCCAGGACACGACAGATCCATCACCGAGAATCGCGGCAAAAGCAGCGGCAGAAGCTTGAATGTGTTGCACGCCGTTAAGTGGAGCTTGTGCAGAGCCGCAGTCGCCACCAAAGCCAGCAGGGCCCCAGGAGACGACAGATCCATCACGAAGGATCGCGGAAAAGGCGCCTGCGGAAGCCTGAATGTGGCGCACGCCCTTCAGCTGAGCTTGCACAGAACTTGAGTCGCCACCAAATTCTGCATGGCCCCAGGTCACGACACATCCGTCACCGAGGATTGCAGCAAAAGAAAATAGAGAAGCTTGAATGTGCTGCACGCCCCTCAGCTGACCTTGCACAGAACTGCTGTCGCCACCAGAACCAGCATGGCCCCAGGTCACCACAGATCCATCACCGAGGATCGCAGCAAAAGCACGGTCAGAAGCTTGGATGTGCTGCACGCCCTTCAACTGACCTTGCACAGAACTGCAGTCGCCGCCAACATCTTCATGGCCCCAGGTCACCACAGATCCATCACTGAGGATCGCAGCAAAAGCAGCGGTAGAAGCTTGGATGTGCTGCACGCCTTTCAGCTGCGTCTGCACAGAACTGCTGTCGCCACCAGACTCAGTATGGCCCCAGGACACAACAGATCCATCACCGAGAATCGCAGCAAAAGCACAATCAGAAGCTTGGATGTGCTGGACATCCTTCAGCTGAGCTTGAACTGAACTGCTGTCGCCACCATATCTAGCATGGCCCCAGGTCACCACAGATCCATCACCGAGGATCGCGGCAAAAGCACGGTCAGAAGCTTGAATGTGTCGCACGCCCTTCAGCTGCCCTTGCACTGAACTACTGTCGCCCCCAAACTCTGCATTGCCCCAGGTCACGACCGATCCATCACCCAGGATCGCGGCAAAAGCACCCGCTTGAACACCAAGCCCTGTCCACCTCAATGCTTTGACTTGCGGCAGCTGTACTTGCAGGCAGAGCTCATCACCGCTCTGTATCCTTGCCCGCTTAACCTACACTGAACTCGGAGCCCCAGCAAAATTAAAGTCTTTGCTGTTTCTTAGAAGAATTATAGTACCCAAAAAATGAAAAATATTTCCAAGTACCCCTAAGTAACTGTCTGTGATGCATCCAGCAGGTGGCCATCAGAACTCAGCAGCCGCCCTCTGCCAACAGCCAAAGCGCCCTGGGCGCTTTGGTTCAACTCTGCCACCTTGGTACCCCGGTAACCATATTCTCATACGGGCACCCTTTTTTTTTTTTTTTTGGGGGGGGGGGGGGGGTTGGTTACTTTCTAAGGGAATTAACCTTAAACCAAAAAAAAAGGGGAAAAGGGTACAACTGGGCTACCAAGCCACAGATGCATCTTCCTCAATCTCCAGAGAAACCCTCTTGCCACTGAGCAGGTGCACGTCAACCGAAATCGCCATAGCCGGCCTGCTTCGAAGGCCCCTGTCGGAAACCTTCCGCTAGATTCTGAATTCTCTACGCCATGTTTTTTTATGTTGAGTATGGGGTTTTTAGGGAACAAGGCTACCGGGTAGTAATTAGTGGGGAAGGTTCAGGATGCTAGGCATCAGGGTCGATGGCTCTGCGTCCTAAGCATTTAAGGCCTAAGCGCTACATCCCATGGACGTCCTTTCCAGAACCCTGTGGCAGCGATACTTCCATCAGGCAGGCTTCGGCTTCGGGTCAAGGGTCCAAGATTTGGGGTGCTAAACCCTAAACCCTAAACCCTAAACCCTAAACCCTAAACCCTATACCTGAAGCTTTAGGGTTTGCTCAGAATCCTACACCTCCCATCCCTACAAGCTCCGAAGCACTTAACCCTCAAGCCCCTGAAGCACTTCCAGCCCTTAAAGCTAGAGCAGCCGCCCGGAACCCTAAAGCCTAAACCCTAAACCCTAAACCCCAAACCCTAAACCCTGACACTCAAGGATTTTGGGACTTTTTCCTCGGATGCCCTGGCGCCCGAAAATCGAATCGAAGGTGAAACGGTGCTGCACGTTTAGGGTTTGGGGGTTGTAGGGTTTAGGGTTTAGGGTTTGTTCAGGGTCTTGAGGCAGGGAGCAAGGTGAGAGATTGGCCTCAGCTATTTGGGATTCGTTCGGCTAACTAGCATTTAATTAGGGTTTAGGGTTTAGGGTTTGGCGTCTAGGGTTCAGATTCATGGGCTTTTGGGGGGTGGGGGTGGGGGCTACGCTTTAGGGTGTAGGCTAGCTCCGAAAAAGGAAAAGATGTTGTGCTTTGGGACTGGGCCAGTGGTTGGCCCAACCCCAAACCCCAAAACCTCTTTAAACTAAATAGTAAGGCCTGGGTTTAGGGTTTAGGGCTTAGGGCCCTAAACTCTGCACCCTGATCGCAGGCTCCGGTGCGTTGGCGAGGAGTCTCCCGCCCCCCCCCAAATCAGGGAAGGTCCTCAATGCCCTTGAGCAGCTCATCCTGCGACGATCTGAGATGTAAGTACTGCTGTCTTTGTGGAGGACCCGGGCGCGCGCCCAGGAGGGTGAAGGGCTTGGAAGCTCTGTATGACTTACTAAGTGGGGCTTGCAAGGTTGGTTTATGAGATTGTGATACGGTTTGTAGGGGTTACTAATCAGACTTACGAAGTCAAGAGAGCTTCCAAGCAGGGTTTGTTTAGGAAGCTTAGGCAAGCATCAACCCTAAACCCTAAACCCTAAACCCTCAACCCTAAACCCTCAACCCTAAACCCTAAACCCTAAACCCTAAACCCTATAACCAAAACCCTGTGCTTAAGGAGCTCGCTAGGGCCATGGTGGCGTCAAACTTCAGCTTACTTGCTCGGCACCTGAGATTCCAGGGATTCTCTGCTGACCTCCGCACTCATTAGTAGTTCTACCATCCACGAGAGTAAGGTTTAGGGTTTAGGGTTTAGGGTTTAGGGTTTGGGGTTTAGGGTTTAGGGTTTAGGGTTTAGGGTTTGGGGTTTGGGGTTTGGGGTTTGGGGTTTGGGGTTTTAGGGTTTAGGGCCGGCTTCAGGGCTGTTTGGATTCGGGCCTCTTGGGTCGGCGGCCTGAGCCGGAGGCTCCTAAATTTAGGGCCGGCTTCAGGGCTGTTTGGAGACTAGGGGTTGCAGGATTGGGGCTTCGGGTTTGTAGCTTTGTAGGGGTTTCAAGTGGGGGTTACGAAAATACGGGACCCCCCAATATAGACCCCTCAAAGAGTAGGATTTCCTTCTAGAAAGCCCCCTATTATTGTAAACCCCCTGCTTGTTTCAAGGGCTGCCCAGCCTCGTCCTCATTCGCATTGCTGTCGAGCCTGAGTATAGGGTCGTAAGGGAGGGGGGTTGTGGGTTTAGGGTATGTAACTAGGCACTACTCCCTAAGCTCCCCAAGCTCCCCCAAGGTTCCCAACAAAACCTGCCCCCCATGAACCCCCCTTCCCTTAAGAACCCGATAACCTGAGGAATTGCGGGGGTTCTCAGGTTTCCCACAAAGGGTTTTTTGACTTCCTAGCCCCCGTAAGCCCCTAAACCCCAAGCCCTAAACTTACTTCCCCAATAACCAAGGAATTTTAAACGCTTGAGCTTTTTCTATTCCTACTAGACAAGGAAACCCAAAAAAGTTTTAACATCAACTGTTTGAACTTTAGAATTCCTACTAGATAAGGAAACCCCAAAAAAGGTCTACAGTTCAACCCTAAACCCTAAACCCTAAACCCTAAACCCTAAACCCTAAACCCTAAACCCTAAACCCTAAACCCTAAACCCTAAACCCTAAACCCTAAACCCTAAACCCTAAACCCTAAAACCTGAACCCTACCCTAAACCCTAAACCCTAAACGGCAGGCTTGAGAGGTCTAGGCTTATGGGGCCGAGGAGTTTGGACTTTGTGGTCCCAGAGCAAAGAAGCAGCCCCTAAACCCTAAACCCTAAACCCTAAACCCTAAACCCTAAACCCTAAACCCCTAACCCCTAAACCCCTAAACCCCTAAACCCGCAGACCCCAAGTCGAGCAAAGAAGCAGCATCTCGGCGTCCAAGGTAAGCACTGGCTGGTGCGCCTTGCTTTTCAAGGAAGGGGGGGGGGGGGTTTGTTTGGGGGGGGTTTGGGGTTTGGGGGGGGTTTTTGGGGGGGGGGGTTTGGGGGGGGGGGTTTGGGGGGGGGGTTTGGGGGGGGTTGGGGGGGGGGTTTTGGGGGGGGTTTTGGGGGGGGTTTGGGGGGGCTGGGAGAGACTTTTGGGCTTACTGTAACCGACGAGGACGTGCTCTGGGATACTAGAACATACTGCAGAATGCTCTAAACTTGTGGCACAACTATACGGTAGGAACACAATGGAACATACTATCACCTCCGGAAATACAGTATCACATGACAATCTGGGGGGGCTCCACGATTTGGAGTGCCTTCTTGGGGTCCTCATGAAGGGTTCCCATTACGTGGGGATCTCTTTTCGGGGCCCCTCACTACCCTAAACCCTTGTTCCTTGCCCACAAACCCTTCAATAAAGGGGCCTTAATAATTAGAACAGGTCTTTTTTTTTTGGGGGGGGGTGGGGGGGGATATTGTAGATATTGTAATAGAACAAAGGGACCATAAGGGAATACTATTAGTACTTACTCCGACCCCTATACTACCTCCTAAACCCGAAGCCTTTCGGTTCGCCTCTGACCATGATGCATAGGTGCGCCAGGCGCAGATCGGGCAGGTACGTCCAACGTCAAGCCGAGCGTGGATATCGGATAGCTTTTTTTCCGTTTCGAACCCAAAAACCCTAAACCCTAAACCCTAAACCGCCAGGGTCATGTCCAGTTCGACCAGCCAAGCAGCACAAATCCTCCAGCATACCGGCTCGGCCGGGTGTTCTGGGAACAGAAGCAAGGGTTTAGGGTTTAGGGTTCAGGGTTTCCGGAACAGACCACCAAAAAGAACCAAACGCTGTTGCGGCGGGACCTTCTTCAGTTTAGCGCGTTTTCGGGCTTCGGGTATCTAAACCCTATTTTCTCTGAGCTCTCCTACACCAGGGGGGCCCCCTCGCACCTTCACACACACACACAAACAGAAATACTGTAGGGGCCTAAACAAGTATTAGAATAGGGTTTTGGAGGCTACTAGAGGATACTTTTAAAGGGACGACCCTAAACCCTAAACCCTAAACCCTAAACCCTAAACCCTAAACCCTAAACCCTAAACCCTAAACCCTAAACCCTAAACCCTAAACCCTAAACCCTAAACCCTAAACCCTAACTAGCAATTACTCCGACCCCTATATTACAATGCCACCAAAGTGCCGGTGTCACATCGGAGAGGATTGCGGGTGCCGGAGGAGGTGACTCGTCCTCAAGAGGAGGGTTTAGGGTTTAGGGTTTAGGGTTTAGGGTTTAGGGTTTAGGGTTTAGGGTTTAGGGTTTAGGGTTTAGGGTTTAGGGTTTAGGGTGGTTGGAGTTGAGGTTAAGTCGGATGGCCCTCGGAAGCCTCAGACAAGTATTCCTGAATATGATCCTCTTAAACCCAACAAGGGAAAATATCAAATATCCCAAGGGCCTATATACCTGGTGAAGGGTTGAGGGGTTAGATTTTGAAAAGTTCATCCAAGGTTTTCAAGGTCCAGTTTGCGGATTTCCGGGTGCAAGGGTTTCCACCTCCTCCCTCGAACCCTAAACCCTAAAACCTAAACCCTAGTCCTCGAAACTTTCCAGGGCGAGCTCCTGGGTCAGGGCTTGGGTTTGTAACTTGGGGTTTTGAGTCTAGGGCTTCAGATGTAAGGTTTAGGGTTAGGCTTTAAGGTTAAGGGCTTAGGTTTGCCCTTGTAAGGAATTTTGTTTGTTGCGCGCATGTAAGGGGCACCCTGATGTTGCGAAATGTCACTTCGCCGCAACCCAAAAGACCCTACAGCCCTGGACCCGACAGGCGTCTACTAGGGTTTAGGGTTTCGGGTTTGGGGTTTAGGGTTTAGGGTTGAGGGTTTGGGGTTTAGGGTTTAGAGTTTAGGGTTTGGCGTGTAGGGTTTAAGGTTTAGGGACGCCCAAACCCTGAAACCCTCAACCGTTCAAGTTACGCATGGTGCGATGCACCCACTCCACGTAGCTCCAAAACCGACCCCGCCCCGCCAAGTAATGTTAGAATAGTTTGTTGCTTGTTTCTTCTGCTTTTTGGTTCAGGGTTCAGGGTTCAGGGTTTAGGGGGTTAGGGTTTAGGGTTTAGGGACCAAGGGGCAATACTACTAGTAATTATTCAGACCCCAAGAAGTGGCCTGCAACAAGATGCCCCTGAAATACCACCCCCCCCCCCCCCCATTAAGGTGCACGCAGGCCCCTTGTTGAGGCATACTTGGGAGGTACAGGACCCTAAATTCTAAGCCCTAAACCTAAACCCTAAAAACCCAAAACCTGTTTGAGAATGATCCAAAAACCCTAAACCCTAAGCCCTGAACCCTAAACCCTAAACCCGAAACCCGATACCCTGCAGGCCAAACAATAGGCAGCCGCATAGATGCAAGACACGGGCATATCAAGAACAAGCAATCTAACACATACGCACACACGCACAGAGACATCCATACTATCATGATGATACATATGCAAATTGCAAGATGTACGAAATTGCTAGGGTGTGGTATCCCGAGAGCCCGCGTAAGACATTCAAACCCATAATTCAAGGGAACCATGTAAACACCCACCACCAAAAACAGAATATACGTCTCAGTTGAAAAAAGTACCAAGATGGGTGACGAGCGACATGAGTCACCATACCAGCCCCCCTGTCTCGGAAACTCAGCACTGATCACCCACCCAAGCGTTTTCCCGCATTTAGGATACTCGAGATCCTGAACCTAAGCCCGAAGCCCCAAACCCTAAACCCTAAACCCTAAACCCTAAACCCCACGTCTCCGTGATAGGCTGCGCCGTCGCCCGATCATCTTCGTCGAAGCGCCTCATCAGCTCCTGCGGCAACAGCAGGGTTTTAGGGCTTCTTACATGGGGTTTAGGGTTTGAGATTTAGGGTTTCGGGTTTAGGGTTTAGGGTTTCGGGTTTAGGGTTTAGGCTCTAAGGGGCGAGGGCCCCTACACTACACCCCTAAGGGCCACTGTCCCAGTAAGGCCGTGGGCTTCCTAAGTGGGGCTTAGAGTTTCGGTGTTTTAGGGTTTCAGGGGTTTCAAGGTTTTAGGGCTTTAGGGTTTGAGGGTTTCAGGGTTTTAGGGCTTTAGGGTTTAGAAGTTAGGGTTTTAGGGTTTTAGGGTTTAGAATTTAGGGTTGTTTAGGGTTTGAGGGTTTCAGGGTTTTAGAACTTTAGGGTTTAGGGTTGTAGGGATTCAGGGTTTTAGGGTTTTAGGGTTTTAGGTTTAGGGTTTTGACAAGAGTTTAGGGTGTTAGGGTTTCAGGGGTTTAGGGTTTTAGGGTCGAAGGGTTTAGGGGCCCATATGCTGCCCCTCACGTGACCCAACCTGAAATTGGGCACACATAGGGGTAAGGCAAGGGGGCCGCTTTGGGGAACAAACCCAAGTCCAGGAGTCCAGGGCTTCCCCTCCTGACCCTAAACCCTAAACCCCAAACCCCAAACCCCAAACCCTAAACCCTAAACCCTAAACCCTGAACCCTAAACCCTAAACCCTAAACCCTGAACCCTAAACCCTAAACCCTAAACCCTAAACCCTAAACCCACCCTGCGCCATCCTCGAAGTCGGCATCGAACTGTGGCGCGGCCTCTGCGACACCTGAGAGTTGGGATGTTCCCCCTGAGACAAACAGTCCTTAATAGGGGTTAGGGTTTGGGCTCAGGGTGTTTTAGGGTTTATTAGGGTTTAGGGATTATAGGGATTATAGGGATTATAGGGATTATAGGGATTATAGGGATTATAGGGATTATAGGGATTATAGGGATTAAGCTGACAGCAGCGTGTCGATGTTTCTGGGTTTGGAGTCTTGGGTGTTTGTTTTTAGGTTCTTGTAGGGTTTTTGTTTAGGCTTTTTAAAGTTTTGTTAGTGTTTTTTGGGTTTTTAAGGGTCTTAGGTTTTTACATAAACTTTAGAGTTTTTGGAGGTTCTTGGGGGTTTCCGGGTTTTTAGATTTTACGTTTAGGGTTTTAGGGTGTTAGGGTTTGGAGTTTTCCGTTTGTGATGGGTTCTTAAGGGAAGGGCTTCATGGGGGGGGGGGGGGTAGGTACCTAGGGAGCCTTAGGGAAGCTTGGGGAGTGGCGGGGAATACTTGAAAACTTGGGGTTACATACCCTCCTGAACCTCCGCCCTCCCTTAAGAACTCTAGTAGTGTAGCTGGGGACTGCAATTAGACGGCACGGGGGCTGTAGGGAACGGTTCCCCCAATCCTACACTCAACAAAAGCCAAGAAGCCAGCAAGCATGGGGTTCAGGGGTTTAAGGGTTTAGGCTTGGGGCTCGAATTTGAGAGCTTCGGGGGTAGATGCGGTCTGAAGGGTTAGTGGCTTTAGGGTTGAGGGGTTCAGGGCAGGGGGGCCTTACATTGGCTCCTAAAACTCTCTAAACTTAGCGAGGCTTCCACAGGCACCTCAGTTCAACGACTCATGGTTTAGGACGATTAGTCTTTGGACCCTAACCTCAACCGTAAACTCATCAAGTCTAGGATGCAGAGTCTGTACGAGCCATCCTAGTTTACCTAGGGTGCTACGGTATCTCGCACAACCCTCTGGCGAAAGTTCTTCGGAAGGAGAGGGTTTAGGGTTGAGGGTTTAGGGTTTAGGGTTTAGGGTTTAGGGTTTAGGGTTGGAGCATCGATCTGAGGTCAGGCGTGGGCGGTGGTAGGCTTCAGCTTCTTCCGCGTCTCAGCCTTCCCCAGAGACTCCAAAACCCCTTAATTAAGGAATAGATCGTAAATCATATTAGGGTTCCTACTCTAATTTAGGATAAATTCCTTAATTAAGGGGTTTTGGAGTCTCTGGGTCCAGGAACGGGACACTCAGTTCAGGCAGCCCTAGCTGCTTGGCAGTCGCTCCCTTGTGGCAGCGGGCGCAGGAACCTTCCCAGAGCAAGGATCGCAAGGTGTGTTCGCCGCACGTGCAGCAGGCTGCCATGCGGTCCATGGCAATCCAGGCATAATTATTGCAATCACGGGTTCGCTAATAACCCCACGCTTAAGGTTTAAAGGTTCTGTCCTACACCCTAAAGACACCCCTAACGACCCAATAAAGCCAACAAACCTGAGAGCCCTCCTACCGACCCTAAACGCAAAGTCCTAAAACCTTCAAACCTTACAACCATTGTTCCAAAAAAAAAGCGCACCATGCAAAAAAACTAAATATAACCTCCAAAAAAAGGAGAAATACAAACATCCCAGACCTAAAAGACCCTGAACCTCTGAGGGCCGTGAAAAACCTAAGAACCCTGAACCCTGCACCTTAAACCCTGAACCCTGAACCCTGCACCCTGAACCCTAAACCCTAAACCCTAAACCCTAAACCCTAAACCCTAAACCCTGAACCCTAAACCCTAAACCCTAAACCCTAAACCCTAACGGAAAGGCTTTTAGGCGCCCGGCCGCTTGCGTCGGCCTCCTCTGTGGACATCGGCGCCATCGCGCGGGCAAAGAGCTGCTCCTGGCCAGAACTTCCAAAACCAGGGTTTAGGGTTTAGGGTTTAGGGTTTGGGGTTTAGGGTGTAGGGTTTAGGGTTTAGGGTATGAGGGTTTCGGGTATAAGGGTTAAGGGTTTAGGGTTTAGGGATTAGGGTTTACGGTCTCCAGAAGCCCAGAAAAGCTCGAAGGCCCCTGTAAACATGCTAAGCCCGGAGCCCTCAACGACCAGGAAACAAAAGATGCCTTAAGTCCCAAACTCTGTTGAGTGCGGACTTAGAAAGCCTAAACCCTAAACCCTGGTCCCTAAACCCTAAATTAAACCCTCAACCCTCAACCCTCAACCCTAAACCCTAAAGTGGCAGCCCTTGCCTCCATCAAGGCATCGTCGTCCACCGTCCGCCGCCTGGCCGTCGCCTACAGGATTCCACAGCAAAAGCCCCACAAACAGGCGTTCCGGCTGGGGGGGGAGAGGGGGTTTAGGGTTTGGGGTTTGGGGTTTGGGGTTTAGGGTTTGGGGTTTAGGGTTTGGGGTCTAGGGTATATTAGGGCTGAAGGTCCTCAATCCTAAGCCCCAAACCCTGAACCAGCCTGGAGTTGAAGGTGTAAGGCTAAGCCCGAAATCTCCTCCAAGAACCCTTGGCGCAGGGACTTCTCAGGGTTTAGGGTTTTGGATTAAGGGTCCTGAACCCTAAACCCTAAACCCTAAACCCTAAACCCTAAACCCTAAACCCCAAACCCCAAACTCCAAACGCCGAGCCTCGTCGAAGTTGAGCAGCCTAGGCCGCGGAGCAGCTGGGGAGGGGTTTGCCGGCTCCCGAGCTCATCACAAAGGGGGGTTTAGGGTTTAGGGTTTAGGGTTTAGGGTTTAGGGTTTAGGGTTTAGGGTGACCACAGAGACCCAAGTAAGGCCCCCAAGAAAAAAGGAACAACACAACTTAATAAACGGAACGCAACTGCAATTTGGGAACATTTCACTGAATAGAGATCCTCTACCTAGTGGCCGAAAACCCTAGCCCCCCAACAAAGGGTAACCTTTTATACATGTAGTAGGATGCTAAATATGAAATACTACCTACGCAGAAACACCTAGGTGATCCCTGGTAATGGGTTTGGGGTTTGGGGTTTAGGGTTTAGGGATTACTTGGAGGTTCAGGGTACTTAGTAACCCACTATAAGTGTAGGTACAACCCACATATAAGCCCTTTAAAGTACCCTTGAATTATCCGCCGACCCCAGCGGTAGCAGGGCGGCGTCAGTGAAGACCCCCCACCGCCCTCACCGCCCTCACCCGCTCTCACAGCATGCTGCTCATGACACCTTGAATTGGAGTGTTTTTGGATTGTTTGGCTTCAGTGCATGCCCAAACCCCGCCACCCATCGCCCTCACCCATGACACCTTGAATTGGACCTTTGACCCCCCCCCCACCGGGTCCAGTGCATGCCCGACCACCCCCCCCCCCCCAGCCCCCCCGCCCCCCCCCCCCCCCCCTCTGACAAATCCCCCCCCCCCCCCACCCCCCCCCCACCCCCCCCACCCCCCCCCCCCCCACCCCCCCCCCCCCCCCCCCACCCCCCCCCACCCCCCCCCCCCCGGGTCCACCCCTCCCTGACACCAACCCTTTGCCTCACCCCCCCACCCCCGCTCCACTCTGAAACCCACCCCCCCCCCATCCCTTCCCTCCGAGGCCCCTACCCCCTACTCCGCCCCTGACAAATCTCTAGTTTGAGTGAGCCCTAACCACCTCCCCGCTCTCATCACTCCTCTGCCTTCCGCCCCCAACTCCACCCACTCTGGACCCTGTCCACCCGCCGCGCTCCACCCTAGCCTTGCTGGCCTCTGGCCTTCTGCGAAGCAGAATTAGGCCGGACGCCAGTGCCGCCGACCCCCGCGTGCCGCCGGTGAACGGTTTTTTTTTCGTGGTTTTTTGCGTCGCCACGGAAGCCCCCAGAGGGCGCGCATCATGAGCATCAGCGGGTCCAGCCCGGGACCCCCAGGCGCGCATCAGGAGCATCAGCGGCTCCCGGGGCGGGACCCCGGGGGCGCATCAGGAGCATGATGCCCCCCAAAGGGCGGGCATAAGACCTTAAACCCTAAACCCTAAACCCTAAACCCTTGACGGATCTGCTCGCCCCGCGCTTCTGACTGCGCTGCCCGCCCATGGGCGCAGCCCCTTAAAATAATTAAGTACAGTTATAGTTTACAATTGGATTACTAAGGACCATGAACCTCCAACTAGGGCTTAGGGTTTAGTATTCCTACAGGCTTCAGGGGATTCCAAAGTTGTTGTACTAAGTTGCGCTTAAAACCCGTTCAAACCTACGTTTGAACTGCTTCCCTTACACTCACAGAAGGGACCGAAACCCTAAACCCTAAAACCCTAAACCCTAAATGCCAGCAGAGAGATCGAAGTTCAGGTTGATCTAACTAAGTACTCGAAATCCGAGAAAACAACAACAAAAAAGCCCGTAATTGACCCTAAGCCTTCAAGCCTAAATCCTAAGCCCTAAACCCTAACACCCGAAACCCCAAACCCTAAACTCGAACATCCTGACACCCTAACACCCTAAACCCGAAAGCCTACACCCTAACACCCTAGCACCTGAAGCCTAAACCCTATAAACCCTAACACCCTAGACCCTAAACCCCAACACCCTAAAGCCCTAAACCCTAAAGCCCGCAACCCTAAACCCTAAACCCTAAACCCTAAACCCTAAACCCTAAACCCTAAACCCTAAACCCTAAACTCCAAACACTAAACCCCCTATGCCTTAAACGTCCACAACACGTAGAGAGTCTGTGCAGTGTAGCCCTAAACCTTAAACCCTAAACTCTAAACCCTAAACCCAAAAACTCTAAACCCTAAACCCTAGCAGAAGGAAAGAAAGCCCTAGAAAGTCTTTGCAGCCCAGCTGCGGCCCAGCGTCCGGTGGCGGGGCAGGGTTCTTGCTACCTGCACGCGGAAGTTTTTAAAAGCTCCTAAGGATTTAGGGTTTAGGGTTTAAGGTTTAGGGTGTAGGGTTTAGGGTTTAGGCTTTAGAGAGCTTAGGGTTTAGGTTGCAGGGGCCAGGGTACAGGGCTTAGAGCAAGGCAGGGAGTTTCGGGGCTAGGATGTTGCGGGTGGGTGCTTAACAAACTCTAAACTTGGGATGTTCCCCCTTTTACTAACAGTCCTTAATGGGAAAAAAAAACCGTACCTCCTATTAGAATCCCTATTTAAAGGACCGCTAGTTTAGGGGGAAGCATCCCAACTCTGAAACAATCCGAAACCCTAAGCCGCACTGCGCGAGGGGGTCATCCAATACCTTGGGCCTGCCTGTAAGGGCCGAAGGCTAGTAGCTTATATCCTAGGGCAGAATTACAATTTATGAGTACTTGGGGACTCAGGCAAGCAAAAAGCTTTATAAACACCCTGAACCCCAAATCTAACCCTGAAACCCCTCATGCAGAAAGTTGCGCTGCAACGAAGTCCCAAAACCCTAATCCCTAGACCATGGTTTCGTCTCTCACCGTCCTCGTCCGACGACCGCTGCAAAACAAACCTAAGCCCCTAGACCCTGAATCCGAGTTCTGAAGACATTGGGAGTTTGTGAAGTGCGGGACATCGATGCAGCTTAGGGTTTGTGATTCGGGCCTGGGGCCCAGGGTTTAGGCATTAGGGTTTGGGCTAGCACACCAACATGTCCTCTGTAGAGCTGTGCCGATGTATCGGCCGGATCGACCGCAACTACCGCTTAAACCCTAAACCCTAAACCCTAAACCCTAAACCCTAAACCCTAAACCCTAAACCCGTCGGAGCACTTCCTTTGCTGCTGGGTCGTCGTGTCATGAGCTGCGGAGTCTGTGCTCTGGTTCTTCGTGCGCCTGCCGCTCTGCGATTCGAAGGGCACGAGGTGTACACCACGTATCAATCCCGGCATTTTGGAGTTGACGGTGGATACAACGTCCGGGTCGTAAGGAGCAATAACTCGCTTATCACGCAAACTGGTGCCCTCGATCTGTTCAGGCGCCGTGCGGTCAACTTAGTGGGCTCGCCATTCACTAGCCCATAAGCGGTAGCGCCCCTATTGAACTGACGTCGAAAGTCATCTCCAGCACTATGGAGTTGGAATTCCAAGGTGTTGGATGGTAGCTGGCAACGGTTTCGGCCGCAAAACGACCGTACACCCTAAACCCTAAACCCTAAACCCTAAACCTAAACCCTAAACCCTCATCCTAAACCCTAAACCCAAAACCATAACCCTCAACCCTAAACCATAAGAGTGTTCCTCAGATATCTACCCTTATCCCTGAAGCCCAAGCCCCAAACTGTACGGAGGAAACCTTGAGTTCAGGGTTTCATGGTTCAGGGCTATGATAATGTAGTAGAGGAGCCAGCTATCTATCACATATAATATATGTATATATATATATAGCTATTTATTTATGTATTTATTTACTTATCCATTTCTTTATTTATATGTAAGCAGGTATAAACATATAAAACACATAATTACATGTATGAATGAACACTTATTGTATGTATAAATGATTTAAATGATCCCTGTTCTCGGTTCCCCCCCCCCCCCCCCCCCAACCAAACAACAAAAATAAAACGTAACCATACGCCCCCCCCCCCCCCCCCCAACCCTATATAAACAGCTGACCCTAAGTCCCATATCCCTAAGCCACGAAGCCCTGAACAGAGTGGCCTGCTCCTTCTCCGCCTGCTGGGACTGCTGCTGCTGCAGCTGCTGCTGGCGCCGAGGGTGCAGAAGAGCTGCGTCCCGTCATCTCGACTGTCTGACGGGCCTGCTTCCGCTGACTCTGACTGCACAAAGTACCAATGAGGGTTTGGGGTCTGAGGTTTCGGGTCTTCAGGGTTGAAGGCTTGGGGCATTTAGGGCCAGGGTACTTGCCACCCCTAAGACTTTAGGGAGTTCTCCCTAGAAAGACCGTTGCAAGCTGGGAAGGAACCTCGGGAGAGTTCAGTGACATGAGGCTGTCAGGGTTGAAGAGAGAAAGTGGGAGTTTGGGGTTTAAAATGTTTTGGGTTTAGGGTTTGGAGTTTAGGGTTCAGGGATGGTGGGTTGGGGTCTAGGGTTGAAGGTTTAGGGTTTAGGGTTCGAAGTCCCAAAAAACACGTTTCTCCGGACTCCTCAAAAATTCCGTAAGCCCGTAAACCTCTACAGCAAGCCCGAACCCCCCAACCTCTAAACCGCTTAATGACACTGAGTGTACCCACAAACCCGAAGCGGGAATAAGGTACACTACATATGCCATTTTGGCCCTTCAATGTGACAATTCTGTCAAACCCCCGTCCCCGAGACCTTATGAAGGGCCATTCACTAGGTGGAAATCCGAGGCCTAGAAATCGCGTTTTTGGGTCGGGGTGAGGATGACGCACGTAACAGCTTGAGCTCCCCTGTGTACTACCCTAAAGGCTAAGGGCTTGCAAAAGCACCGCTGTTTGCTTCAAAGCAGAGAATCACGAGGTTCCTTGCAAGGAAGAGTACAGCATGGCACTTAACTTCGTCTAGGGTTGAAGCCCAGGATTTTCTAGGACGGCCTGTAAAACTCTCTGAAAGATATTCCTGAGTATGATTTTTTAAAATCCAATAAGGGAACATGTGAAATGTCCAAAGGGCCTGCCTAGTTTGTTTTGGCCGAACATAGACCCTAAACCCTAGACCCTAGACCCTAAACCCTAAACCGGGCCTTGTCGCTGGGGCCGCGATCCGATTCCACCACCTGCCTTCGGCCGCTTCCTGAAGTGACGCTTGTTCGAAAATGGGGAGGAGACCCGGAGAGCCCCAAACCCCTGACTTAAGGAATGTACATTAAAGTTGTGTATTTAGGGATCCTTCATATGATTTAAGGTGTAGTCCTTGATTAAGGAATGTACCTTAAGTGTATCTAGGGATCCTTTAACATGATTTAAGGTGCATTCCTTACTTAAGAGGTGTTGGGCTGCTTGGGGAGAGATTAGGGCTGCCACATGGACTAAGGGTTAGGGTTTGGGGTTCAGGCGCCCCCAACAAATAACTTAAAAGGGCTTCCTTGCTCAACACCGAAGCTTTCTGGTGGGCTTCTAGACCCAAGAGTTGATTAGGGTTTAGGGTTTAGGGTTTATAGGATTTTTAGGGTTTAGGGTTTTAGGGTTTTAGGGTTTAGGGTTTAGGGTTTAGGGTTTAGGGTTTAGGGTTTAGGGTAAAACAGGGTGCCCTTCTTGGCGTAAAGGGGCTTACAAGGGAACCTCAACCCTAGGTAAAGGAAATAAGGGCCTACTCTGTGCCCTAGGGTCTTCCATTCAGGGGTTCGCGTCGGGCGATCACTAAACCCTTCAAACCTGACGTCTCCTCCCGAAGAGGCAGTGAGTGAACCCGACACGTGGCATCACCTTAGAACCCCTAAACCCGAAGTCCTAATTAAACCCCAAACCCTCTAAGCCCTAGCCCTAAACCCTAAACCCCTAGACTGCCCTAAACCCCACAAACCCTGGGAAGGGGAAAGTAGAGGTTGGGGTGACACGACTCGAAGCCGGATCCCTGGGCAACAGCAGGTAGGGTTCAGGGCTTGTCGGGTTTACGGGACCTCCTAAACCCTAAACCCTAAACCCAAAACCCTAAACCCTAAACCCTAAACCCTAAAACCCTAAACCTCTAAACCCTAAACCCTAACCTAAAGCCTAAACCCTAAACGCAAGGCAACCCATGGGACCATGCTACACCCCACCTGGGTCACTCTTTCAAGGAGTTTGTGTCACTCCTTCCAGGAGTTTATCAGGGTTCAGGCAGATTTGGGATCGAGTAGGGTTTAGGGTTTAGGGTTTAGGGTTTCGGGTTTCGGGTTTAGGGTTTAGGGTTTGGGGTTTGGGGTTTGGGGTTTAGGGCTTAGGGCTTTTGCGACTCGGACGGGCACTTTTGGGGGAGATGGGGGGCGGCTTAGGCCGAAGCGCCTCTGCGCTTTGAATTGTTGCTCTTGGCTAGGAAAGGGCCCCTGAACCCTAGATCCTAAACTCGAAACCCTAAACCCCTAAACCCCTCAACCACTAAACCCCAAACCCTAACCCTAAACCCTAAACCCCTTTTGAACCCCTAAACTCCTAAACTCCTAAACCCCTAAACCCCTAAACCCCTAAACCCCTAAACCCCTAAACCCCTAAACCCCTAAACACCTAAACCCCTAAACCCCTAAACCCCTAAACCCCTAAACCCCTAAACCCCTAAACCCCTAAACCCCTAAACCCCTAAACCCCTAAACCCCTAAACCCTAAACCCTAAACCCTAAACCCTAAACCCCAAACCAAACCCTAAACTTTGCTTCTCGCCTTCCTCTTCGTCTTCCGTCTTGGCCTTCTGCTGGGAGGGCGCGCCTCGCAGCAGCATCCCACCGAACTTTCGGCAAACCCCTAAAACCCTAAAAGGGTTAGGTTTTAGGGTTTAGGGTTTAGGGTTTAGAGTTTAGGGTTTTGGGTTCAAAAGCCTCAAGCCCCCAAAACCCTAAATCCTGAACCCTACTTATAAAGCCCTGAAGCCCTGAGCCCTAAACACCCTAAACACCCTAAAAACACCAAAAACCCTAAAAACCCTAAAAGCCCTGAAAGCCTGAAAACCCTGCAACCCAAAAAACCAACCCTAAACCCGAAAACCCTCAACCCTGGCCAAGGAACTTTGGTTGTCGCGTCGCAGCTGTATCTTCACAATGTGTGCCCACTTGATTGGGATGTGGCCCCTTATACTAATAGTCCTTCATAGAGGTTATCATGGGAGGTAATAGAATCCCTATTAAGGACTTGATTTGTAAAGGGCAGAACATCCCAACCAATTGATCCTAAAGCCCCGAACACTCTTTCAAAAAAATCTTGCAGTTAACTCCCGAACCCTAAAACCCTTAAGGCCCGTAAGCTCCAAACCGTAAGACCCTTAAAACTACATACCCCAAAAAAGCCCTTATTCAAAACTCCACACCCTGAAAGCCTAAACCCCTGAACCCTCAAACCCTAAACCCTTTAAAAACCTAAACCCAAAGCCCTAAATCTCTGGACCCTCAAACCCCAAACCCTACACCCTGAACCCTAAAACCCTCCTCGAACTAAACCCTAAACCCTAAACCCTAAACCCCAAACCCTAAACCCCCAAAAGGCCAGACAGCCTCTTGGCTCGGCCCCCGTGGCACCAAGGCCGTGCATCCCCCAACAGTGCAGCGCCAGCACAGCGCCGTACAAGGCCTGTGGAATAAGGTCGTTTAGGGTTTAGGGTTTAGGGTTCAGCATCTCAAGTCCAAGCATTCACTAGTCAAGCAATTACTCCAGGAAAATACCCACCCGCCCAAAGAATCCCACAACATTAAGAAAACATTTTACTTGTAGAACGACCTTGCCCATGCCCAGTAAAACGGCGACCTTGCCCAGTAAAACAGCGACCTTGCCCAGTAAAACGGCGACCTTGCCCAGTAAAACGGCGACCTTGCCCAGTAAAACGGCGACCTTGCCCAGTAAAACGGCGACCTTGCCCAGTAAAACGGCGACCTTGCCCAGTAAAACGGCGACCTTCCGGCACACCCCCCTGCCCAGTAAAAATGCTACCTTCGGCCCCGAAGGTCGCCGTTTTACTGGGCAAGGTCGCCGTTTTACTGGGCAAGGTCGTTTTTGGTCAAAAAATCGACCTTGCCCAGTAAAACGGCGACCTTCGGGGTCCAAGGTCGCATTTTTACTGGGCAGGGGGGCAAGGTCGCCGTTTTTCTGGGCAAGGTCGCCGTTTTACTGGGCAAGGTCGCCGTTTTACTAGGCAAGGTCGACTTCTTTGACCCAACTGACCTTGCCCAGTAAAACGGCGACCTTGCCCAGTAACTCCTTAACATTTAAATTATATATGAAAGAGAGGTTTAGGGTTTAGGGTTTAGGGCTAGGCCTCTTAGAACTTTTGGGTGGACGTAGGGGTTTAGGGGATTAGGGTTTGAGGGGTTTAGGGCTTTTGGGGTTTAGGGTTTAGGGTTAGGCCTCCTGGAATTGTTGGGCGAGTTTTGGGGTTTTAGGGCTTAGGGTTTTAGAGCTTAGGGTTTGGGTGGGCGGTTCTAGGGCTCATCAGCTTATAGGGGTTAAAGGCCTTCTGGGGTTTAGGGTTGTAAAGGCAGGGTTCTAAGCGTTTGTTACGCCCCCTCCCATGTGAGGAACACCGGCGGCATGTCGTCCATCAGGAACATGATGCCATTCTTGGCTCTCCACAAACGATGATTCGTGCGCAGCGCGCGCTCCACATCCCGGCCATTTTTCCTGCCGAGCCTCCCGAAGTCCTCATAGCGGCAGAGATGGACGTGCCTCCGCCGCCCTTTGTCCAAACCGTGCCGCAGGATGGACTGGAGGCAGTGTCTGAAAGTGCCATGCCAGAGAACACGAGGCGTTCAGGGGTTCAGGAGATTTAGGGCTTTTTGGGGTTGGGGGTCTAGGGGTTTAGGGGTTTAGGGTTTTGGGTTTAGGGTTTTCCGGGGGGGGGGGGGGGGGGGGGGCGGGTCCCGAGGTAGAGCCCACTTGAACTCGGAACCCTACACCCCAATGTTTAGGGTTTAGGGTTTAGGGGTTTCAGGTTAGACAGCTTCTGGGGCTTTAGGATTCTGGGCTTCAGTTTGTTTGAAAATGTTTTGAGTCTCTGCTTAGGGTTATTGAAGGACATTTTGAAGGGCTCTCGGGCTTTACGCTGACCCGAAGCCCTGAATCCTGGATCCTAAACCCGAAACCCGAAACCCGAAACCCGAAACCCTAAACCCTAAACCCGAAACCCTAACACAGGGCCCTTAAGATGCCGAAGCATGGCGACCCCTGAACCAGCCCATGCCTTGAAAGCCGGTTTGGGGTTTAGGGTTTGGGGTCAGGGTTTACGGCTTAGGGTTTACCTCGACTCAACCCTAAACCCTAAACCCTAAACCCTAAACCCTAAACCCTAAACCCTAAACCCTAAACCCTAAACCCTAAAACCTAATCCCTAAACCCTAAACCACTATACTGCTCGGCTCAAGGAGGCGTGGGGTTACCGTCTATAAGGCTTCTGTAAGGGGCTGAAGCAGCATGTAGGGCCGGGGTTTAAGGGTTTAGGGTTTAGGGTTGCTCTAGAAGTTCCAAGCCCAAAATTCCCCGACCCGCCGGAAGCCCCCCTAAGCCCAACAAGCACCTGAAAACCCCAAAACAGGTACTAAACCCTGAGCCCGAAAACCCATTTTTTCGGAAATTCCCTAAACCCTAAACCCTAAACCCTAAACCCTAAACCCTAAACCCTAAACCCTAAACCCTAAACCCTAACCCCCACCTGCTGCTCCACCGCTAGGATGGCGAGCTCACCTTGGGCTGTGCTTCAGCGGCTGCGCGGCTTTCAGAGTTTCGCGGCTTGTGGGGGTTTAGAGTTTAGGGGTCAGTTAGGGTTTCGGGCTTAGGACTTAGGACTTAGGGTTTAGGGTTCAGGCTTCAGGCTTCAGGGTTTAGGGCTTAGGGTTTAGGGTTTAGGGTTCAGGGTCTAGGGTTTAGGGTTCAGGGTTTTGGGTTTAGGGTTTGCGGTTTAGGGTTTAGGTGGTTTAGGGATTAGGGCTCAGGGTTTCGGCTGGTTTCCCACGCTGGGGGTTTAGGCGTCTGGGAAGGCACAGGGTTTAGGCTTTCTTGTTTATAAGCCGCATTTAGGGTTCCAAAATGCCCAATGCCCCTTAATTAAGGAATATAGCTGAAATCATATTAAGGATGCCTATTTAAACTAAGGTATATTCCTCAACCTTAGAGGTTTGCGGCTAGGATCTCTAGGAATCAGGGGCTTAGGGTTTGCGGGTCGCGAATCAGCAGGGGTTCAGGGCTTAGCCGAATGAAATCTGAGCTTTCCGGTTGTTTAGGCATACGTCGTGGCCGTAGCAACAACACTTCTTGCAGCAGGGAATCAGCAAGGACTTCAAAACCTCGCATTTCACGTAAACACCCTGCACCCTCAAGCCTAAACCATATGGTGGTTTCTCTAGGTTGTGGACCCTTTTGGGGTCCTTATTTTCCGCCGGCCCCTCTTATTTAGGGTACCCAAAGATGGGACCCTCATTTGGAGACCTCAGCGTATACTCTAACCCTGCAAATGGTGGTTCCTCACCGCACCCTAAACCCTAAACCCTAAACCCTAAACCCCAAACCCTAAACCCTTAACCCTTAACCCTGCCAAAGACCCTAAACCACCCTTTCCGGGAGGCCGGGCCGTAGATAGCAGCGCCGGTGACAGCGGCCGCCACACCCGACAGGCCCTCGAATCCCAAGAAACTTCTGAGTTAGGGTAGTTGGGTTTAGGGTTCAGGGATTAGGGTTTAGGGCTTAGGGTCGGTTACGTTGAGGGTTGAGGGTTGAGGGTTGAGGGTTGAGGGTTGAGGGTTGAGGGTTGAGGGTTGAGGGTTCAGGGTTCAGGGTTCAGGGTTCAGGGTTCAGGGTTCAGGGTTCAGGGTTCAGGGCATTGAAAACACCGTGAGAAGATGTGAGAAGTAGGTTTTAAGTACCCTGGACCTCACAATCCCTAAACACTAAGCACTAAACCCTCCACCCAAAACCCTAAACCTGAAACCCTAAGCCCAAACCCTGAGCCGAGTGCTTTTACGCCCAAAACAGCCTCTAACGCCTAACTAGCATCCCGGGGCCTATTCTTAAACCCTGGAACCGAACTTGGTAATCCCAAACCCTCACAAGCCCCAAACCCTGAACCTAAAACCCTAATTCAACCTGAGACCCTACACCCACAGCACGAAGCCTAAAACCCATAACCTGAACTAAACCCCAAACCCCAAACCCCAAACCCCAAACCCCAAACCCCAAATCCCAAACGGTGTAATATAGGTGCCTTAATAATTAGAAAATTAGGGTTTTGGGGATTATCTAGTATATTACATTCATATAGGGACCATAAGGAATGTTGTAAGTAGATGATCGACCCCTTTATCATTCGAAAGCCCGTTTGCGGCCCCACTTGCTACTTGGAACCCCTATAGAGACAGTAGCCACTGCAGTCTAAACCCTAAACCCTAAACCCTAAACGTTTAGGGTTTCTTGGGGCGGGCCACAGTCGAGAAGGCGAGTAGCACACTGGCTTAGGGTGTAGGGCTTATGGCTTCTAGACCCGAGATCCGCGGAGTGCCCTCTTTGGACAAGACCCTTCAGCCCAGGCGACACTAGAGTGCCTAAGTAAGACCTTAATGCCTGAAACCCCCCAAGCCTCAAGCCCTAAACCCCCAAAGCTACGTAGACCTCAAAACCCTCAGCATAACCCCAATCCAACCCCTAAACCCAAGCCCCAAGACCCAAACCCTACCTTGGACCGCTGAGCTTGTACCCTTTTTTTTCAGGGAACCTTTAAGGGTACAGCCTTAGGGGTACGAGTCTTAATCCCTTGATCACTCCAAACACCAAACCCCTAACATTCCTTGCGGGCAAAGCTCCGTTCTTTTATACCAGCGAACCCAGAACACCCTATAGCTCGAAACCGACCCTAAACCGTGAACTCCAAACCCCAGGCCCTCAACCCTAAACCCTAACCTAACCCCTAAACCCTAAACCCCAAACCCTAAACCCTAAACCCTTAGCCAATCCAAGCAACACCATAGGCTGCCAGCACCCGGAGGTTCTCGTGGGCCTCACCGCGCGGCGCGCAAGGGATTTGAAGGGCGTTTCGTGGCCGAAAGGGGTTCATGGGGCTGTCCGGGTCTAGGGTTAGGGGTAGGGCTCATCTACCCGTGCAGTAGGTACTTCAAGCCAAGCAGGCTAAGTTCCAAACAACTCCCTTGATTCCTAAGAACTCCTTATTGCAGTTCAGGGCCTTAAACCCTAAACCCTACACCCTAAACCCTTCGGGTTTATAGGGCTTAAGGCGACTACCCCTAAGCCTGAGCTAGCCAGACTGTACTGAATTGAGGAATGTACCTTGAAGTATGTAGGGACCCTTAATATGATTTAAGGCATAACCCTAAACCCTCAACCCTAAACCCAGGAGTTTTGGGCTCTCTGGGTACCCTGAGACTCCAACCTCCAACGCCCGCCGCAACGGCGACGCCGCCGCGCTGCGGACCTTTGGGTGGGTGATAGGGTTGTGAGAATTTTATAGGGTTTAGGGTTTAGGGTTTAGGATTTCGGGTTTAGGTTGCAGGGTAATAGGGCTTAGGGTTTAGGGTTTAGGATCAAGGGTTCAGGGTTTAGGGTATAGGTATGGGTAATCAATAGGGCTTAGGGGTTAGGGCAAAAGGGTAATGAGGTAATAGGGTTTAGGGTAATAGGGTAATAGGGGAAAAAGGGTAATAGGGTAATAGGGCAATAGGGTAATAGGGTACTAGGGTAATAGGGTTTAGGGTTTCGGGCTTACAACGCCAGCTTCAGCTACCCCTGACCCTCCACACAGAAGGGGCTCAGGGGGCCGTAATTAATATGGTCAGATCTCTGCACATTCGATCCCCATGTTGTTGGATCCATCGACCGGCCAGCTCCACCCCAAAAGCTGCAGTGTCTCTAGCGCAAACAACCGCCTTAATGGGCCGAGGTTCACAGAAAAACACCACATCTTCTGGTATATATCTTAGGTACCCGAAACCGGAAACCCCAAAGCCAAGCAAGGGCCCTGTAGCACTGCGCCTGTTCAGAGGGACCTCCCGGTGCGGAGTTGATCTGGTTTGGTTCCCTGATGCTTGGAAACAGGAACCCTTACAAACATGTCACCGAAATCAATCCTAGTTTTCCGGAAGCCACCCTACACCCGTACGACCCAACACCCTGGTGCTTTCGGGGTGTTCGGCCGTTGAACCCTAAAACCTAAACCCTAAACCCTAAACCCTAATTAAACCCTAAACCCTAAACCCAAAACCCTTAGAGTTTAAGGTTCTGAGTCCCCCGGCTGCAAAAATCAGGAGCAGGAGGACGGGCAGCGCGGCCCAAAGCTCTTTCCTGGCCAGGACATTGGGCCATTGGTTTTAGGGTGGCGTAGGGTCGGACTTTAAGATTAGGATCTTTTTAAATTAAGGGAAGCTAAAGAGCTCTAGAGTTTAGGGCTTTAGGGTTTACTTGGGCTTGAGGGTGGTTTAGGGTTCAGGTTCTGCTTGGGGCCGGCTGCTGTCAAGCTTCTGCAGCTGCACATTAAGTATTGTGCTGCCAGAAGAGCGTAAAGGTTCAGGCTTGAGGGATTAGGGTTTAGGGAGTTTGCTTTGGCGAAGCGCACAATTGCAGCTACACACCTACCTGTCTCGGCCTAAACCCTAAACCCGACTCACACATCTGCATGCACTCAGCCAAGCGCTCCATCGACTCGTTCTCGCGACCTAATTGGCGCCCCCGGGCCCGTCGCAGTGCTCTCAGCAGCCAGCCTAGCTCTTCGCGCAGCGGCATCAGGTGCATCACCAACCCCACCACCTCCCCTGCTTTTTCATCTCTTTGTTCTTGTCCTGGAAACCACTGCGCTCTCTTGAGGCCTTTGCTCTTCTTTTTGGAGCGGCTGCCCAGCTTCAGGGCCATGATCTCCATCCTCGTCTTGCCTATCTCTTTCAAACTTCCTCACATGTTCTGTGTCTCGCTTGCAGGAAACAGCTTGAAGGCGTTCTCGATCTGCTCCAGGGTGAGGCCTTTGGCATTCTTAGGGTTTAGGGTTTAGGGCTTCAGGCTTAATTAGGGAACCCAAACAACCCAAAACACCAGCATCGCGATGATAAACAATTTCGGGTTCAGGGTCTAGGGTTTTATAACCCTATTTCCCTCAGCCCCCCAACCCTCAATCCTAAACCCTAAACCCTAAACCCTTAACCCTAAACCCTAAACCCTAAACCCTAAACCCCCAACCCTAAATGACCCTCAGGGCGGCCTCCCTGGGGCCATGGCCAGACTGAAGGCGACTTGCGCGGCCGCCTCCGCTTGGCTGAACTTAGTTGGGTTTAGGGTTTAGGGTTTAGGGTTTAGGGTTTAGGTATAGGGTTTAGGGTTTAGGGTTTTTTTCTAGGGCCCTGCGCGCCAGTCCGCGCGCTTTGGCGTCTTCCGGAATGGGGAGCTGCTCAGCTCCTTGTGGATTAGGGCGTACCTATAATGAGGTCCTAGGGCGGAGTGGTCAGGGGAGTTGCAAATGTTTGGAAAGTGTTGCCGGGATACCACTTCTATCCAAAATGGGAATTGCATGCCCCACCTATGTCCTTGGCTGAGAATCCTATCCTTGTGAGCCGAACCGAAGACTACAGAATGATACACCTCCTTGCTTGGTGCCAAGAAAACCTCCCTCATCATTTGATATTGTGTCTGAGAGGAGCTGGGATGGCAGGCGGGGACGGTGAGCCTGTTCATAGACTTCTACGTTAGGGATTCTGGAATAATATGAGGCTTTGATGCGCACTACCCTTCTAAGAAAACGGATGTAAAAAGCATCTATTCGTTCGAGGTGCGGCGTGGTCAGGGTAAGGGCGTCTAAGCCGTAAGTCAGGACTGGCAGAAAGGTTGCTTGAAAGATTTTGAGACGCTCTTTGAGGCAGAGTGTGCTATTCCAGATAAGTCTTAGTTTTTTTAAAGGCCTCTTCAGCTAGGGCTGCACGATGGTAAAAAGGCCGTCTCGAAGGTTTTGGTCCAGGATATCATGCTGCCTAGGTATTTGACCACTGTTTTTGAGGGGACGCGTGCCCCATCCTTGAAGCGTAACGGGGGTTCGGAGTGGTGGGGCCGCACGAAACCACGGGGCAGCCTTCTCGCGCCTTTTGCCGGCTTTCTCCGTCTTGGCTTCGCAAGCTTTAGAGTCCTTAGAGAACGCCTTGCCCTGTGGGTGCTGCAGCACGGCCATATCCTTCGCGACCTTCTGGAAGTTGCGATCAACAACCTCTTGCAGCTGGCGTAGGCTGGCGCCATGTTCGGAAAGAGTCTCCTCCACCGAGCAGATGCGGGAAGATAGCCGAGGCAAGCCATTTTTCTACGGGATAGGGATCAAAAATAATGATATAAAAAAAGGATCAAGAAACAAAAAAACTAAACCCTTGGCCCTAAACCCTAAACCCTAAAACCATACACCCTAAACCCGAAACCCTAAACCCGAAACCCGAAACCCTAAACCCTAAACCCAAACCCTAAACCCTAGACCCTAGACCCTAACCCTAAACCCTAAACCCTGAACCCTAAACCCTAAACCCTAAACCCTCGGCTGTTGTTTTTTTGGATCCTTTTCTATTTTTTGATCCGGCAGCCATTTTTCTGGGGGTCTAGGGTTTAGGGTTTAGGGTTTACGGTTTAGGGAAATCTTTAGCTGCCGTCTGAAGAAACCCAATGAACCCAAAAAAGGCTAAGGATATAAAGTTACAGTAAAGCACCACAAAGCCCCGAAGCGGAGACTTTTGTGGCGGGGCTTGCTGGTGGTGTTGTCCTTTAAAGGGCAACAACCCTCAGAAGCCTCCAAGGTACCGCAAAACCTCCGTGAACCCTTGAACCCTATAAACCCTAAACCCTAAATCCCCAAGCCTTGAACCTGATAAACCCTAAGCCCTAAACTCTACATTCTGAACCCGCAGAAGGCTCCGGGACAAGCCCCCCCCCCTCTAAGCCTTTTGTTCATGCATATCACCTGGTCCGCATTGCAGAGCCAAACCCCTGAGAATTGCATTAGCGTTTACGTTGTGACTACAACTATTTTTGTTGCCCCTACCACAGGTTGAAGAAGTCCCCTGTAAGACTTACAACTGAGGAGCTGGGGTGTAACGTCGTGTTTCCGGCACAAAGCTGTTTAGGCTTTGAAGGTGTGGTGCGATGATGGGGGTTGACAGAGTAGGAGGGGCTCTGGCGCAAGGGAAGGGATTTGGAGTATAGGGGATTTGCAGAGCCTCGTCGGGCTTTGTGAGCTGGAAGCAACCAAACCTTAAACCCTTAAACTTGGGATGTTCCGCCTTCTACTAACAGTCCTCAATCGGGACTATAAATGGGGGGGGGCACTATACTCCTTAGTACAAGTAAGGGGGAACATCCCAACCCCAAACCAAAGATTGTGAAAAGCTTTGCCTCGGACTTGAGGAAAGGAGATGAACATTCAAAAGTTCATGGTCAGATGGCCTCCTAAAGCCTAAGCTAAGCCCAACGAGTCAAATAAGAGCCGCGTCAAGCTTACAGAGCGGTGTCAAAACCTCTTAGTTGAGGGTTCGGGTTTAGGGATTTGGGGTTTAGGGTTTAGGGCTACTTGTCAGAACCTCTTTTGGTTGAGGTTATAACCCTAAGCCCTAAAACAACCCCTAAACATGTTCGAACCCGGCGCACCTTGAGGAAGAGAGCCGAGACCCCAAAATTTAAAGCCTTGGGCCGGACGAGCTTCCGAAAATGCGGGCTTAGGGTTTAGGGTTGAGGGTTTCGGGTTTAGGGAGTTTAGGGTTGAGGGTTCAGGGTTTCGGGTTCAGGGTTTAGGGCATGTTGAGGGGTACAGGGGTTTAGGGGTGCAGGTTCTCAGGGCTGCCAGGGGCCCAAGAAACGTAATTCGGGTTTAGGGTTTAGGGTTTAGGGTTTAGGGTTTAGGGTTATATAGTCTTGAGGGTTGAGGGTTTAGGGTTTAGGGATTAGGGTCAACTCAACCTTCATCATGTTGCTGTTGTTTGTTTCGGTGGAGTCGCTTCTTTTCGTTTTGTTGCTGACATTTTGGGTGGAGGAAAAAGTCATCTACCCCAGAAGCTATCGAAGAAACGCAGCCCTCAAACTCAAGACTTGGCCAGCCATATGGAAACCGTCACCCAAAGTTTAGGGTTTAGGGTTTAGGGTTTAGGGCTTAGGGCTTAGGGGGGGGGGGGGGGGGGGGGGGGGGGGGGGAATGATCGATCTAGGGTTGAGGGGTTCGGGTCTGAGGGTCTGTTTCAACCTTAAACCCTAAACCCTAAACCCTGTACCCTAAACCCTAAACCCTAAAACCCTAAACCCCAAACCCTAAGCCCAAACCCTAGTCAACCCCAAAACGCCCCTCAGGGTGCGGGTCTCAGGGTGAATGGCGGCCCAAGGAGCAGGGGGCAGGCAGCTCACAAAGACGCCGCTCGGCGTGCCTTTGAGGGCGGAAGGTCGAGGCACAGTTCAGGGGGGGGCGGGGGTTAGGGTTTAGGGTTGAGGGTTTAGGGTTTAGGGTTTGGGGTTTGGGGTTTGGGGTTTGGGGTTTGGGGTTTGGGGTTTGGGGTTTGGGGTTTGGGGTTTGGGTTTAGGGTTTAGGGTTTAGGGTTTGGGGTTCAGGGTTTAGGGTTTAGGGCTAGATCGGTTTCAGGGCTTGGCCCTAGGTTTAGGGTTTGGGGTTTAGGGTTTAGGGTTTAGGGTTTAGGAGCCCTAAACCCTGAAACTCTAAAGTGGAGCCTTGGCAGCTGCAGAGCACATGCAGGAGCACCCCGCTGAGCAGCAGGAACACCACGTAGCCGCAGGTCCTACCGCATCTTCGGTTCAGTAAACCCTAAACCCTAACCCTAAACCCTAAACCCTAAACCCTAAACCCTAAACTCTAAACCCTAAACCCTAAACCCTAGAAATTGACAAACCCTCTTTCCTAAACCCCCAAAACCGCGAAAGCCGAAAACCCAATTCCTAAACCTGACACCTCACACCCTCTGAACCCTCTACTGGCTCAAACCCTAACGGGTGCCTTGTCTTGGTCTTAGGATACGGAAATACAGAAGCTAGTAACCCCAAAACCAACACAAGGGTTTAGGGTTTAGGGTTCCGGGTTTAGGGCTAAGGGTTTAGGGTTTAGGGGTAGGGGGTTTAGGGTTTAGGGTGAAAGACTCAAGGTAGACCTTGGCAAATTGACGGGCTGGGGGGCTCGGTCTCGGACAAGATGGGGTTATCTTGGGAACAGGCATGTTGATCTATCCTACCATGCCCTTCAGACCATCACTGGCCATCGAAGGGTTTAGGGCCATGAGGAGTTGGGGGCAAGTTGGGGGGTTTAGGGTTTCAGGGTTGAGCTCAACTTGGGCTCTGTTGGCGGGTCTTTGCGAAAGGAACTTTCCGTCTTCTCCAAACGACTTATGATCCCTTCGAAAATCACATTGTTGAGCCGGGCTCCATATTCAGGGTACTGTACCCATAAAAGGACTACGTTTGAAATAGCCACAAACAAACAACCTACACTTTACACCCCACATCTGAGACCCTTCACGCTTATACTTATACGATTCAGGGATTGTGGCTAAACCCTAGCCCTAAACCCTAAACCCTAAACCCTAAACCCTAAACCCTAAACCCTAAACCCTAAACCCTAAACCCTAAACCCTAAAGTCCTTGGCGAGAGGAGCACGTCCAGCAGCACAGCTGCCTTCAAGGACGGATGGCCCCCTCCGCCCTACTGGTCGAAAAGGCCTTTTCCGTGGATTCTTCACAATTTCTTCACTACACCCATGACCCCCCCCAACAAAAAGAAAATATACATACATATATATATACATATAAGTATAAGAAGAAGAAAATATATAATCAGTAATACCAACAAACGCCCTAAAGGCCAGTGGGCTTCCCCGACATGCCGACATGAGCCCAGGCGTGTCACTCCTTGAAAGGTTTGAGGGTTAGGGTATAGGGTTGAGGGTTTACCGTGTAGGGTTTCAGGATTTCAAGGGACGACCCTGCTTGCACCTTAATCCCTAAAATCCTGACCCCCCCCCCCCCCCCCAAAAAAAAAAAAAAAAAAAACCAAAAACCCCAAAACCCTAACCCCCCCTGAACCCCCCAAACCCTGAAGCCCCAAAACCGTTTAGGGTTTAGAGTTTACCCTACAACCCTTAAAACCCCTACATCGCAGCGGGTGATCCTAGGAGCTTCGTAGCCCAGTATCTCATTCTACTAAGGGTACACCTTTTTTCGTTGGTTACTTTACAACGGAACCCAGAACCCAGAAAAGT